CCCGCCCCCCGGCCGGCGGCCGCTTGGCCATTTATAGCATCCGCGCGGGCCCTGGAGTCACCGCCCAGGCACGACGGGGGCGGAGCGGGGGAGCTCTTGGCTCGGCCCCCGAGGGGCAGCCCCGGGTCCCCCGAGGGGGCAGCCCTCTCCGAGTCGGCCTTGTGCCTCCGATTCTGAGTCTGTGTTTCTGTATCTGTCGATGTGTCGTCAGTCTCTGCGTCACGAGGCTTTTTCCGTCTCTGCCTGCATCTCTGTGCCTCTGTGAATCAGCCTGTCTCGCTCTCTCTGTTTCTCTCTGCCCTGAGTTCTCTTCGCCCTGTTATCTCTCCATCTCTGTGTCCCTGAGTCTGTTTCGGGTCTCTGAGTCATTCTGTTTCTCTCTTGATGTTGGTGTCGCTGTATTGTCTCTGTCTCTCTTTGTGTCTCTAGTAGATGGGAGTAGAGGCAGAGAGAGGGGACTGATCCCATCGTGAGACCCCAGCCAGGGGACACCTGTCATCACAGACTGCCCTACGCAACCCCCTTCTCAGCTTCTGTCTGGCGTTTCTCAAGTTTTGGTCTCTCTCTCTGCCTCAGTTTACCATCTAAATGTGGAATCTTGTAAGGAACAAGGTTTCCCGAAGGGTCCAGGACGACATGAAAGAAAAGCCATGCCTCCTCTCAACTTTAGGGGGCTCCTCTAAAACAGCCAGTTAACCCACCACCCACCCCCATACCTCTATAACGGTGTGTCTTGGGGAGAGTCGAAGCCTTCCCTGCACTGGCCTGTTTGGCTGCCCTGCTCTGCCTGTCCCCTCCTAGCCCAGAATTCCTCTCCACAAAACAGGCAGAGGCTGTTGATCCTAACGGCTCCTGTTTCTGGAGGCTCACTCTGTGCCAGGTACCAAGCACAATCTTGGTTAATCCTCATCACCACACTCTCAAGGGGAAACTCAGGTCCATTTTGTAGATAAGGAAGCCCACAGTTCAGAGGTCACACGGTTCATGCAGTTCCTTCCAGATTCTCCCAGATGTGTTTCTTTTTTCTTTGTTTTTAGTTGGAGTCTCATTCTGTTGATCAGGCTGGAGTGCAGTGGCATGCTCCCAGCCACCGCACCCTCGACCTGCTGAACTCAGGCAATCCTTCCACCTCAGCCTTCCAAGTAGTTGGAACTACAGGTGCCCGCTATCATGCCCTGCTAATTTTTTTGATTTATTGTAGAAACGAGGTCTCACCATGGTGCCCAGGCTGGTCTCGAGCCTGCGGGCTCAGGCAATCCTCTTGCCTCAGCCTTCCAAAGTGCTGGAATTATAGGCATGAACCACTGCGCCCGGTCCAACTAATTTTTTTTTTTTTTTTTTTGAGTTGGAGTCTCACTCTGTTACCCAGACTGGAGTGCAGTGCACACTCCCGGCCACCACAGCCTCGACCTGCTGGACTCCAGTGAGCCTTCCACCTCAGCCTTCCAAGTAGCGTGAACTACAGGTGCACACTACCATGCCTGGCTAATTTTTGATTTATTATAGAGATGAGATCTAGCCAAGTTGCCCAGGTGGGTCTCAAACCCGCAGACTCAGGCAATTCATTCGCCTCAGCCTCCCAAAGTGCTGGGATTACAGGCTGAGCCACTGAGCCCGGTCTAATTTTTTTTTTTTAATTTTTTTGTAGAGATAAGGTCTCACTGTGTTGCCCAGACTGGGCAAACTCCTGGGCTCAAGCGACCCTTCCACCTCAGCCTCCCAAAGTGCTGGGATTTCAGGTGTGAGGCACCGCGCCATCCTGTCCTATTTATTTATTTAACTTTTATTTTCTTAGATACAGGGGTCTCACTAGGCTGCCCAGGCTCTACTTGAACTCCTGAACTAAACCAATTTTCTTGCCTCAGCCTCCCAAGTAAATGAGACTACAGGCTGTCATTGTACCTGGCCCTTGATGTTTTTGTTTTTGTTGTTTTGGGGCATTTTTTGAGTCACAGTCTCACTGTCATCCAGGCTGGAGAGCAGTGGCACACTCATGGCCACTGCAGCCTTCACCTGCTGGGCTCAGGCAATCCTTCTGACTCACTCTTCCAAGTAGCTGGAACTATAGGCATATGCCACAAGGCCAGCTAATTTTTTTTTTTTTAATTGTAGAGACAATGTCTTGCCAAGTTGCCCAGGCTGCTCTCGAACTCGCAGGCTCAGGCAATTCTCTCACCTCCGCCTCTCAAAGTGCTGACAATACAGGCTTGAACCACCATGCCTGGTCCCCCTCATTGTTTTTTTTTTTTGTTTTTTTTTTTTGAGTTGGAGTGAGTCTCGCTCTGTCACCC